ATACTTAGTTACTTTTTACTTTAAAACTATAAGTAGTATATAAATAGTCTATACTATTTATAATAAAGAACTTTTTATTATTATTTTTATACTATAAAAATAATAAACTAAGCTTACTAGCTACTAATACTATTTTAAAGTTATTACTAATTATTAACTATAATTATACTTTATAATAAAATACTTATTAAAAAGCTACTAAGCTAAATAGTTAAAACTAATAGTAAACTTTAATTTTTAAATTAGTTATTAATTTAAAAAATAAAATATTTTAATAAATACTTTATTTAAAAACAAATCTTACTTTATAAAAGGCCTTAAAAAAAGCTAGCTATATATAAGTCCTCTTACTACTTTTCCTACTTATACTAAGAATTACTATTTAGTTATAATAACTACTAAAGACTACTACTTTAACTAAAAGAACTACTCTTAAAGTAATTATAATAAGTGCCTTAACGCCTAAGGATAACCTCTAAAGGTACTTACTAGTAGAATAAATCTTATAACTAAATTAAGAGGCTATTACGCCCTTTTTATTAGCTTCTTAAGATCTAGCTTAATAAAAGTAAAAGTATTAAAAACTAACTAATAATAGCCTATTAACTATAAATAGACGCCTAGTAGTACGTTTTAAAAATAACTTATATACTTATATAATTTAAGAAGCTTATAACTAAAAGTTACTTATATACCTTAAAAAAATAAAATAAGTAAGATTATTAAAAAAAATATTACTAGCTAAAAATAACTATAAATATTAAGTAATATATATATAGCTACTATATATATTACTATATATATAGTTTATATAATAAGCCCTTAAGAGAACTAAGGCTATTACTTACTTAATACTACTTAGAGTAATATATTACTATAGACTTTATAGCCTACTTAAAATATAAAAAAAAATATAATAATATATAAGTTATAGTAAACTACTTAAGAAAGTAAGTAGTATTAACACCTTATTATAAGACTACTATAGTAAGGAATATATTATACTTATTTTATAAATACTTACTACTTTCTTTAGTTTTCTAAAAATAATTACTTCTAACTATAGCCCTTAATTAATTTTTTTATTTTAAAAAAAGCTAATAAAAATTTATAGTTTTAAGATTTAGCTTTTTACTATAAACTACTTATAAATAAATAGTTAAATAAAGATTTTTAAGTAGTATATTATTTAGTAATTATACTTATTAGTAAATTACTACTAAAATAACTAAAGTAAAATACTTCTCTTAGTAGATTTTACTTATATTATACTTTTTAGTAAAAGTATTAGCCTATTACTATTTAAAGTTAGATTTAGCTATATACTATAACTTAGTTTTAACTAAGACTATAAAATAGTAAAGTTTAATAGTACTTTAGAAATAATTAACTAAACTAAAGTCTAAAAAATAACTAACTATATTTATAAGTACTAAAAGATTACCTAAAGAAATATAAAAGTTAATTAAAAACGCTAATAATAATATATAAATAAATATTAAAGGCTAAATAATATTTAAGTAAAAGATAATATCTTTATTAATATCTTTTATTAAAAAGAATAACCTTAATAAGCTTTAGAACCTTTAGTTAGGTCTCTAGCTTATAATTAATATAGGCTTAAGTAGTACTTAGTAGGTTTAGATTCTTAAGGGTATTAATACCTACTTAGTATTTTATCTTAGTAAGCTTTAAAAAGCCTTAGTAGACTTACTTTTAGGCTAGTACTAAGACCTCTTACTACTAACTACTACTAAAAATAAAAAACTAAACTATAAAGTAATATACTTATTATAGTCTAAAATTAACTATAAGAGACTATAATACTATATAAATTAAGTTAGTTATAATAAAGACCTTACTTAGTATAACACTAAAAGCTTTTACTATTTACTAATAATACTAAAGAAGTTTTATAAAAAATACCTTAATACTAATAGCCTACTTTAAAGTTTATACTTATAGCTTAAGAATATAGCTAGAAATACTAATTTACTAGTATAGCTTTATAATAACGCCCTAAAGGACTTAAAAAAGTATTAATTAAAAAGTCTATTAATATATAAGTAGTATCTAAGTAACTATATATATTTACTATAAGTATAGTACTAGTATATTATACTAATTAGTTTTACTTCTTTATAGACTTACTAATACTTTTTATACCTTTATTTTACTTTACTAAGTTTTAGTTTAAAAAAATATTTTTTAATAGAAAAATTTATATAAAGAAATATAAAAAAATTAACTTATAGCTATTAAACCCTTATTTAATTTTATACGCTTTAAGAACTTAAGCCTAAATATATATTATAAATAATATATTCTTTTTTAAAAAAAGGTAATATTATAACTAAAGAGGTTATATAAAGAATATATAAATAAAAATATAGTTATAATATAGTTTAGTAGCTAGTATACTTTATACCTTAGTAGTAAGTATATTATAGCTATAGTAGTTTATACCTTACGCCTTAGTAGCTAAGGCCTTAAGCCTTAGTAGTTAGTATACTCCTACCCTAGTAGCTAGTAAGCCTTATAGTACTAAAGGATTTACTAAAGGGCAGAAGAACTAGAACCCTTAGTTATAAGAACTATTAGGTAATTTATAAATAGAATAAATAGCTATATAATAGCTAGTAGGACTACTAGCCCCCTAGTATAAATTCTTTTCCTTTTTACTTTTAAATTCTTATAATAGGAAATATAGTTACATACTAAACTAATATAGTATTCCTACTATAATAACATTATAACTAATAAATTTCTTAACTATAGCCTTTTTCTTATAGAAGTACTAGACTTTAATTATAAGGGTATAGTAAGTTATTATTAATTAACTAGAAAACAGCTAATTAAAGAGTTTTTTAGTAATTAAAATTAGGAGTTACTAGATACTTAGATAAGTGTCACTTATTTGTCCCTAAAGTCTATAAATTAAAGCTTTGGTAATGTTCGCCACTAGCATAACTGTGATCGACAGACCTACGAGGGGGTTAGTTAACTTTATCTTTGTGTTTCTGTTAACCGGTCGAAGCAATGCAACGTGGTTCAGCAACGTCACATAGATGCTTATGTGCGTGTGTAGGTCGTCTATACCGAATAGTTACCCCTATTGTTTTACCGATGGCGCTGGCTCCTGAGATCCCATGCCTTGCCCATCTAAGTCACCAAGAACCTCCTCGTCTTCTTGGCTCAGTATCGGTCGATGAGAATTGCAGCTTGTAGCCTGGTGTCCGAGGATCAGACCATTGCCGAGCCGCCCGGTAAACGGGAGTCGCAGCTTTTGCCAGTCACAAGAGGGATTTGGTTGCGTCTTCTGGGGTAGGAAGAAGCCTGCATCACAAGCGGGTGCTAGGCCCTCGGTGTAACCGGATCTGCAAGCCTAATTCCTGACTGCTCTCCAGGACTCTAAACCAACCTCCCATCAGGCCGCATCATGCAGCTTGCCTATCGGTACGTATATAGGAGAAGCAGTTAACAGAAGAGGGATGTCACCAAGCCCCTCTGTAGCATCCAGTGGCGTAGCTTGTGCTCGCAGGGGGCGATGCATCCATCCTCAGCTGGGTAATCGTCAATTGGTCCAGAGTCACCAACTAAAGGTGCACGGAATCAAGCTATCCTTTCACACCATAAGGCGCAGGGAGCTCATCTGGGACCGATAATCACGGGCAAGCAATCACTCGATTGATTGGCGAAAGGGGTCTATCAGTGATCATGGCCAGTTGGGGACCCCAGCCGCTTCACCGGGAAGGCAAAGATAACGGTCGCTTCCAACAGGGTGCCTAGTATTAGGAACCAGGACCCCGATTCTATACCGCCAAGGCTGTTTTACCAATATCCCTGGCCTACCTAAGACAGCAGTAGACCTTTTCACGATGCTTACCTATGCCTCAACCCCCTTCTTGGCATGTGGATGGCCTGACTTAGAAGCGCGTGCACTTAGAATGCCATCACCGACCTTCCCGAGTGATACTGAGGACTCGCTTGGCATCGCCTACATCGTACAGGTAGCAGCAGTGACTTTCATTTCTACTGGTAAACTAGTCTAACGACGACACCGACAAGTTGCAGGAAGTCTTCGTTGATGTAAGCTGTACGATGAGGTTGGAAGACAGGCTTGGCAAGTAACGCCTAGCCGAAGAGGAGCGATGTCCAGGGGCCGCCACGTTGGTTTCCACACCAATAGAGATCCCTGTCAATAAGTCTGTTTTTGACATGGCTCCTCTGAAAACTGGGTAGGACATGGCGCCAAGGGACAATGATGGTGGCAAGTCTGAAAAGGGCAGCGGAGGAGAAGGCCATAAGGGTGATGAGAGGCAAGAGAAAGCCCGTCGTCATCCTCAACAACAGACATGGGTGCGTAGACGCTTTGCTAGGGCCCGCTAACAGTGGGTCATCGCTGCTCGAAGAACCCATATGGGCGAGCCAGATAACGTGGCTTTAGATGATTGGCCCAATAACCAATCCTGTCGTCCCAAGTGGGGTAACTCGCCATCGTCTGCTTGCTCACGGCAGAAACTGGAGCCGTCCGGGCCGTGAAGCCACTTCTTACATCCAGATTTAGCGGGGCCCAGCAGCCGGAACGGTAGGACGTTAATCCGAACCACCCCATTTGGCAATCGACATTGACCAGATGCCCACTTTCAAAGCTGAACATTGGGGGGAGACTGTAGGTACGCAGAACCACAGTATGAGGCATCAGGCCTCGATAGATCCTAGCATAGAGATCACATTAGTAAGAACCGCAGTCTACACGAGGTGACCGCCAAATGTAGATAGAGGTTAGAGAGCAAAGCGGGAAAATGGGGACAGCTGGTCAATGTTATGCATTGGCGAAGCGGGGCGGCTCGGATTAACGTCTGAACGCTTCGGCTGTTTGCCGGACCCCGCTATCCGGGCATAGCTGCTGACTAAAGAGCGGCTCCACAACCGTGTAGGAATAAATCAATCAATCAATCAATCAATTGGAAATAAGTAAATCACACAACGGTACGTCCATGGAATCAAATGCTGCGCCTCAAGACAGGTCATGTCCAGTCGCCGACGAGATTGCTGCTACTCGTACTTCAATGCCGCTGCTACTCAGTATCAATCAGGTTCTTAAAGGACGTAAATCAACCTACACCATCGTCAAGGAGCTCTATAGGGCTGCAGACGAAGGCGCCGTATATCTAGCTAGGTATGACCTCACTGGAGCAACCCCCCCCTTGTGTTTTCCTATCTTGCCCACGAACCCCTTTTAACTTAATACCGTGCGGATTCTAGGGATCACAACAAAAGCAAATGCATCGTCAAGAGCATTCGCGGTCATTGGCGCCTACAGAACGAAGCTAATGTTCTTGAACGCTACCAGTCGAAGACTCCGTTCCTTCGCCCTATCATCGATAAGGTCATAGAACCTACCGATCCGCCGTCCATTATTCTGAGGCATCTGGACAGTGAGCTTCTCACGGAATCCAAGAAGAAGCGGTTAACACGCCCTGAAATCAAGCAAGTAGCTAGGTGCATTCTTGAGGCCCTCCTTATCCTCCACAAAGATGGAATGGTCCACACAGGTATGTTATAACGTTCAACATTCTTATATTTTATAGGTTCTTACGTGATTCTCAATGCTTAGATTTGAAATTAGACAACGCTTTTGTCAACTATGGTCAAAACAACCAGCGCTTCTCAGAAATTCAGCTTGGCGACTGCGGTGGTGTAGTCTCCAAGGACTCAAAGTTCGCTAGGGAGGGCCATGCCATTGGAGCTACCTTTACACGTAGCCCGGAAGCTCTATTACAGCTTTCTTGGGGCACACCAACAGACGTCTGGTCATTTGGAAACATAGTATGTGTCCTAAAAAAACCCTTATTTCCTTTAACTTACCTGTCCTTAGATCCTCAGCCTTGTGCATGGGGGTGGCTACCATCACTTTGATCCTGGCTGGGAAGGAATCAAACCAGAAGACGAGGACTACGAAATCACAGTTCTAAAGCGAATGTATAACTCATTTGGCCCATTCCCACCATCAATTGCCGATATCCTTGACTCCGAAACCTTTGAGATTATCCATTTTCTTAATCAGAAAGGACCTCCGCAAAGGCCACTTCAACGGTGGTCGACAAAGGAAATTCCTGTTGCCGATAATGATTTCATCCGGCGCATCTTGAAACTAGACCCTCGGGATAGGCCGACAGTGGAGGAGATTCTCAAGGATGAATGGTTCATAGAGGAATCAGACGATACGCGGGAACTCATACCTGAGGGGGCAAATAGTTCAGGTGATGGGGTTGGCAGCTAGCGCTATGACTTTGGCACATATCCATGCAGTACGGGATGTCTGGGCGCTTAGGGTGGAATGATTTGAATGGCCCCAACTGAGGCCTGGACTGAATTTGACTACTTTGAGGTTCAGTATATCCCTCCTAGCAGTATCAAATGCAATGCAGCATTGTTAAACCACACTTCTTTTGATTACCTGTCAGGCTATCTTTAGCATACAAAACGATACAAAAAGCCCTCTGTTGGATCTGCTACCGTTCAGCCACTGTCAGAACATGAAGTCCAACATGAAACGGTAAGCGCTATAAAAGAGGTTGCAGTGGCGCTTAGCACCCTTGAAGTGCTAAGGTTTACATGTCATAGCACCCAAGGTGCCTAATCAAATAATTCAAGAAAAATACAGCGGTTAAAATGGCTCACGATGCGGGAAGTGAGGGAAACCGGGGGCTTGCCTGGTGTGCCAATCAGAAATGATACTAGATCATGAAAGCTTCGCACAACACATTTACCAGGCGCTAGTCGATGCCGCGATGCCGGACTTGAGTCATGCTCTTTGCCAAGCGCCTTTCCACAAGAGTAAACGATGAGCAAATGGAAAGGGTTAGACGTCTTTGCTAGAGGAACTGCCAATATAAATACAATCATCTAATCAGTATAAAAGTCGATGGTCGTCTTGTTCGGCACCGAAAGCCCCTTTCACGCCTATTACGCTCTATACTTGATCTTATCTTCTTTGTTACAAGTACTGGTACAGTTTCTCCAGTCTGGTCTTCTAGTCAATCGTCATGTCCAAGGTTCTCAGAAAGAAAATGCTTGGTTCGGTTCTGACCTCCGCCGGAAACAGCGTTGCAATTTCTGCTGCGACTAGGACTACGAACTGGGTCAGACCTGACTCGGCAGCTGAATCCATGAAAGGAGCGCTGGAGGCCGCAATTAAAAAGAACGAAAGTATCTTGCCTAAAGGAACGGTTGAAGTCTGTACGCGGTACGTAAGATTCCATAGCCTCTGGCGCCGTCGGTATAATTGCATGTACTGAGTATTTGATCCTTATAGTGAAACTACACATACCAGCGCTTCCGACTCACGATCGCATATTACAGCTGTCTGTTTCGATAGCGAGGGGAATCCCATTACGACCGTCCATCTGGCTACGAGCAATGAATGAGGTACGATATACAAACTAGTCGGCTTTAAGTCGGTTGGTTTGGTTATTGTTGCTCCGCTGTTGTGGGCAGCGAAGCCTCCTAAAAGGGTCAAAAATGGATTTCTGTAGACTAATCAACGTCCAATTGCCACTGGCCTTGGTTACTGGTCGAAGATGCTTCTCAGATTATTGTTGATGTAGTCTGCTCACGGTTGCGATGGTACCATTGTCTACAACCTGGGGAAGAAGATAGAGAAGTTAATCAAGCTAAAGTTTTAGTAATAAGAGCCGCTCCTTTATACAATACGCGCACGACAACTTCTTTAATTCGCTTCTAGACTTGTGTCCCACTACCCTAAAGATGAAACTTAATAACACATTTGGCCATAGGCCATCTTTGCACCGTGGTCTTGTAACATCTGTCTGATCTTGGTGTTGCCACCAGTTGCTACGGTCTGCACAGCGTCGCCATGCCACCCATCTGGTGCATTGACGTTGGCGCCTTTGTCAAGGAGCATCTGCACGATCTCAAAGACGTCAAGCTGGTAATATTCGTCTTTAGTAATCAGACGGCGTGTACCGAATTCTTTTGCACGACTTATCACAATGTGCAGAAAGCGCTCCTAAATTCCCTTTCGATTTGAGACAGCATGGGTATTGAAGATTCGCAGCCTCTGAATCTGTACAATCTAATTCCGACACACATGAGCCATATTCAAACGCTTAGAAACCATTACTTACGGGTCAAGAAATGCCGTAGTAGGTTGGCTTTAGACGAGGATTGTTTCTTGTTTCCACAACGTGGATATAGACAGATGTAACCAAGCTTACTCTCTGCCTGCCGATTACCGTAATCTTTATCATCTGCGACTGATGCCCGGCGTTTCCTCTTGTTTGAAAAGGTCGAGGGTGCAAAAGTTTGTTCCCCCAGATAGAACGACACAAGATGCTCTACAAGACTTTCCGCATCGCCGCACGGCGCAAAGCAGTTAGGACAAGCCCAAGTCGACATTCGTATATGCGGGAATGTGTGTGGTGCATAGCGGTATAATTGAATTCAGAGGTCTTTTAGTCGGGCGATGTCAATATCCTGTATCATTCCAGTTCGAAAAGTAACAGCAATATATTAGTGCATATCCTCGTGGGAAGCCATGCCGCCGTTTGTGCATTGTTGGTTGTAAAACTTGCAGTCATCACATCTCAGGTAGGTGCAGAAAGAGCCGCGCGGCTAACCGAGGCAAGTATCGACTTTGAAAATGCGACAGGAGGGATTGCTAAGGGGAATCGATGGCGTAGCAGTACCAGTGTGATGGCAAGGCAGTACGTCTGGCACCATTGATGCAAAAAGACCCTCGACAAGTCATGTGATATCAACGCCAGCTGTAGGTGCAGTCAATCCTAACATGTCGAGGACAGGCTCCGCGGCATCTCAGAGCCTTTTAATTGATGCCAAGTCACCAGCACCCTCTTCCAGCTGCCTCGAGTAGACTGTGGCACGGACGCCAACCAGCAATGCTTCGCAGCGGTGTGAGCTGACGTTGATGACGACGATAGGACCGTAAATAGCCGCCTCTCGCATTTCGTCTTTCGTAGCAGACAAAAGAGACCACTCAAACCCAGGACAACGTCGGACGCTAGCGTTGTCTCGGTCGTCTGGAGCGACAGAAGCGGATTTTGTTAGCCGAGTTGAGCCACGACACTTCTTAACTATTAGCAGACGGTCCTCGCGATTAGCTAAACGCCACCACCAACACCAATTCGCCAGTTTGAGAGCGAATATAGAGAGCGGGGACATTATTGACATCTGGTCCATCTTTCGCATATGGGAGACAGTGAATCAGCAATAGTAATCATGTTTCCACAGTTGGGCAAAACCGTCCGTCCGAGGGACGGCTTCTGTAAGTGAAGTTCAACAGATCTATCAATCCAGCGACACCTGTCCAGCAAAAGACTGACTGACGCTGGGCCCAGTGGCACCAAGACAGCGATACGGCAAGAATCACTCATGGATAGGTCATCCCTCTTTTGAACGACGCCGCCATCGACCGAGTTCGCTTAACTTTCAGCCGCCCCAGCCGCCATTTAGGCCACACAGCATTTATGCCAATGCGAAATTGCAGGATTCATGTTCGCCTCATCAGTGATCGTTGGATGAGAGATATTTTGTCTGGTACAGGCTAATTGAGGAGGCTGTTGGCATGCTTTAACCGACAAACTCGACGTGGACGACAGGCAGCCTTTCGTTCGGTCTAAAGTCATCGCCCCTCTTTCACCGGCTAAAAGCCCGCAGCATGCACGATGTTGAACTTGCATGCGCCCCGTTGGAAGAATGCATCGAACGTGAGACGCGTTTATCGACGTGCCACGGTAAACAGCTTGCTTAGTCATTTTTGCGGGTACCCGTGAGCCTATTGGGAGCCCTTCACATCGCCCTGGCCCTTCGCGGATGAGAACGCATACTGCGCACAACATGACAGGCGCTTATATTAGAGGCTTAAGTGGCTCAATCGAGCTGTCCGAGCGTGGAGGATGCAAGATTTCGTCACATGTAGCTGACAAGGGACTATTGCAAGTACTTATTGGGTGGCAGGCCTGCTGGAAGCTTCCACAACAGAAATCGCAAACTCCTCGTCGCCTCACTTCTACATAAACATTGATTTTGGCGCCCATGTAATGCACAGTACCCGCCTTCAGACAAGTGTGTATTCTGAATCAATTTTTTCAAGTTTCGTTATGTCAACAGTAACAATTCCTACGGCGCCGCGCGCGATGCTGTCCGACGCTTCGAACAACCCCCCAGCTTCAAGATCCCCTTCAGAGAAAGTAGAGCGACGAAAGTTGGGACGCAGCCAGAGGAGAGCATACGCGCAACCACACCTCTGCCCACGCCTGAAGTGTGTCCTGGTCTAGAGAACCCTCTGCAGATTTACATTCAACGATAGGTACCCAGGCTGCTTTCCCCTCTATCTTCGCCGCAGCCCTGCCCAGGACCAGCCCATTCTGGTGATGTCGCATAGCAAAGAAACAAAATGACGGATCAATTGGTCTGACCCCCCTCGGTTGGTATGAAAGTACTATAAACTCCCGTAGGAGTTCTAATTTACATCAAAATGAAGCTCAAGACATCAAAAGACACATGGGAAGCCAGTCATGGTGTGCCTAAATCAAGCTGCAATCAGAGGCCATCGATTGTCATCACAGCAAATCGATTCGCTGATAAAGGGAATCGATTTGCTTACATAAGTCGGCCTCTTGGAAAGGAGCAGGGCACCCCAGAGCAAAGCACGGATGTAGCCATTCTAGGTAGAGATTTGTCCCCTTGTTCTACAATACTGTATAATTTTCCCATTGTGTAAACGAGTTGTTGTCCTGGAACGTATTTTCGCAAACTATCAGCTTCTTCACCGATAAGTTTGAGCAATGTCTTGGTTGGGACGATGTGAGTTGGCAATATTCGGAGCATGATTAAGTGTAGAGTTAAATGAGTGACATTGATGTGACGTGTGTGACTTTGTCTTAAGTGAATTAAGTGAATTAAGTTGAAGTGGTTTTGTCGGAGTAGGCTGAGTGACAGTGTAGTTGAGTCCCCTATTCTCTTTGTGGAATTGCGAGACGGCTGCAAGCCGTGACACCGGAGCGAAGCGGAGGTAGTTCAAAGCTGTGACAGATGTGTAAATAGCCTCACTTTTTGAGTAAGTGTGACAGGATGACTGTTTTTTAAGTGCATCAGGTGCAAATGCTGTGAGACAGTAGGATTGACGAGATCAATCAACCAGGGAAGTGAGGCGCAGCCGAACGGACAGAGTGGCGGAGCCACGGCCCCATTGGACACCACGCAGACGAAGGTGGTGCTGAGCCACCGAAGTCCCTTATAATTTGTATTAGTGGTGTCCCGGTGTCCCAAACCACGTGACATGCAATGGCTCACGGGTAGGAGCAGCAGACGGAACGAAGTGGAGTAGGGAGCTTGCGACCGTGACCCAGGGGTAAGCCGGAGAGAATCGGAGGCAGCAGTAGCAGCGGGAGAGAGTGGGCGAACGGAGCTGGGCAGTATGGGAGCGAAGAATGAGTGGACGGTGATTGCGTAAGCAACCACTACCGCACTGCATGAGGATGCGGGGCCGGTGGATCCGGAGGGGCCAATGACTGACACGAGGTGGAGACTGAATGAACAGGGGTGAGAGGGGTATATAACCAGCGGAGGCGCCCACTTTTGGAGTAGAAAAACACGAGAGGGTTTGTTTCCTTTCATACACAGGTGTAAGAACACGTTGTGAAACGGCAGGTAAGGCACGGGTTGGGGCCGGTGACTAGATTAGTGTAGTAGAGTGCAAGGCACTGGAACCGAGAGGACGAGGAGGAGCAATGGCGACTGAGTGTGTAGCGCCAGCGGTGAGTGTACAGCCCGCGGGACGATGGGCTTCGTTTTCTACGGAGGTAGACCGCCAGGTGGAAGCAGACGTGGAGGATGCGGTGCAGTTGTCTTGTCACTGGGGACGGTGCAAGCCCAGGCCAGGATTAGGGCCTTTAGGTGAGGCGGAGCAGTGGTGTAGACGCCTTTTTGTAGCACAGTGGGGTGTGGCTTCGTATATTCCTGTTCGTGAGGTGGAATGCCGGGTGAGAAAACGGCTGGATCAGTTTGCTCGGGGAGCAGGAGCGAGAGCGAAGATATGGGGATCCTCTGGTATGCGTGATGGAGCGCATCAGTACATTGTGATGGTGGTGCTTGAGCAGCCACTGGTCCATGTTGATCTGGAGATGGTAGACGGGAGTTGGTGTTTGTTCCCGCAAGACTTGGTCGGTAGTCCTGGGGACACTGTGTCCCATTTGTACAGTGTGTGGGCAGCGCCGTGTGATAAGCTGACTAGACAGGAGGCAGTGCCAGGATGGATACTGGCGTTGAAGGCGGATAGAGGAAGTCATCTGCTGTTTGGAACGTCCCTGAGTGCAAGTGACTTTGAGTGACCTTTGGTGAGAGACGGAGTGTGGCAGCTGAAAGCTGTCTAGGTCTTAGTTAGTGTAGTGATGTTACGCACGCCTAAGTGCAGAAAATAGAGTGATATTGAGTCGAGTGACGAGATTGCTTAGTGTAGTGAGAGTGAATAAAGAGTGTTTATTAAGTGACTTGACTGAATTAAATTGAGATGGTTGTACCTTAAAGTGATTGACAACTAAGTGAAATGCCCTATTCTGATTGTGAAATGCGGTACGGCGGCAGCCGTGACACCGTAGCGGAGCGGAGGTGTTCAAACTGTGCCAGACAGTGATGGTCAATGTGTCCAGCCAACGAGAGTAAGCAGGAGAGTGCAGGGGTGGTAGCCCAGGTCCCTAGTGAAATCCAACAAGAGTGCAGGGTGTGTTCTTTTTTTTATCCACAGTGGTTGCACGGAGTCCTGTTAACTCCCCAACTTGCAACAATTGTTTACTAAATGACGGAGTGCAACAAACGTGAAAGCAGACATGCATTCGATAGCCCCAGATTGACAATGTCAATGACCCGTCCGAAGCGTCACGAAGTGGCGCGGAGAACACCCACCGACGGAGGAGGTGGAAGACACCACTATCAGGCCGGAGTGCGTGCAACCACGGAGGACTGTCTATAATTTGTATTAGTGGTGTCCCGGTGTCCCAAACCACGTGACATGCAATGGCTCACGGGTAGGAGCAGCAGACGGAACGAAGTGGAGGAGGACCAGTGGTAGGAGTAGAGGGCGCAGCCCGGAACGGGAGTAGG